GCGTTGTTTTCGCTTCTGCATGCTCGGTCCACGCGAGTGCACACAATCCAATCGATTTTTCTTTCGGCCAGTACAGTTTACGCATTTCCCACGGCTTTGTACGTGCGCGTGCCGCTCCGCTGAGCGTTCGCCATCGAGGCCACAGCTGCGCGAGCACACAGCTGACCACGTCCATGTCCACGTGTGGCTCACTCTCTGCCTTTATGGCCGCTATTTCTTTCATTTGAGCTATTCCGACTCACGCGCCTGTTATCGATCAAATTAATCGATCGCATTGGTACTCGTGTGTGAGTTGGACCTCTGAATGCACTCTGTATCGATTTTTTTGGCTAGCGAAGACCCCGGCTCGCCACTCAAACTAACACAATGCCACGCGGCCACGGAGAAGTAATGTATTTTCTAAAGTAACGCAGCACATAGCTCAGTATTTACCGACTAAAGCATGAGGGGGCATGACAGTAATATGCGAGCGGCCCCTGGGAAGTATTAATTGTACGTGAGCGATGGCGGTGGTTTTGCCGTGATGGCGCGAGAGAGGGAGGCCGTTTCAGACAAGTGCCGGATGGAAAGTGAAATGAGTGTCAACGCTCATCGGACTGCTAATTTTCACCGATTCTTTACCGTTGAAATTCAGTTTAAATTTGCACAACTGGTCTCAATTTTTGTGTAATTACGTTACAATAGTTCCTTCAAAGTGAGGGGTCTGATGCCGAAAAACGCATTGGGGAACTGAAATATGTCTAAGGCGAATTAGCTAGTAAGTATACCTTAGACAGACCTGCAGTAAAAAGTTGCATACACATCAGAAAGAAAGGGTTTCAATCGCGTTCTGGGAGTGTATTTTATGCCTTAGAACGTTTCATGGCACCGACTATGAGAGAGAGAGAGAGGGAGATGTGGGACTCACCCAGCCAGAAAACCCTTGTTTCCATAAACAGTCCAGCCTCTGCTCTGCTAAATTCTTGCGGGACAGCGTTTCTCAGCGAGCATGCCAGCTGTGCGACTTAATCAACATTCCCGCC